GGGGACGATAAGTGCTCAAGTGCAAGCTAAAGCTACTTTAGAGGTAGGGGACACTTGATAGCCCCCTTTTCCTTCTAGTAGTATTATTTAAAGTTGTCAATTTTCTCTCTTGAAGTTTCCGATCCTAAAATTTGTGGTCCACAATTACAGAAGCAACCAAAATTTACCCAAATTTTATGTCATTTCACATTCACATATTTCAACATCTGAGTTATTAGTCCATAACATACACTAAAATGACAACGTTACTTTATTTGTTGTACTCACGTCACGTAATGTCAAAAAATTATCAGTCGAGCCGTCGATTAGTTTAAGTAAAGTTGGGTAAAATGTGTGAATTGAATATAACTTTATCGCTTAATTTGGGTTTAATTCATCTTAAAGCTATAATAATATGATTTTTCTAAGATTAATCAAAATCTCACACTTCTATTTAGACAATTAGACGTCTGATATACAAGTTTCTACCAAGCTAAAATTATATTATAGTATTGCCTATATGAGTTTTTCGCTTTTACTGTCTTTTGTCCTTAGCATTGATTTGGAAAAATTATAAGTCTTTTAATATAACATTCCTCAATATGATTTTACGCCTAGCTAGCAGATAATTTACCCATAGATAGAAGAAGCTACTAATCCTTATATTTAAAAGAACAATGTTTTACTTAGGGGTGTTCATGATTCGGTTTGGATCGATTTTTCCTTAAAAAGAAATCAAATTAAGTAAGTCGATTTTTCAAATATTAGAACCAAATCACACCAATTAAGTCGGTTTTTTATCATTCGGTTTATGTCGGTTTTTTGTTTTTTCGGTTATTTATCGGGTTTTTTCTTAAATATGAGACATACACCACCAAACACATATTCCGTCGACTACATTTTCAACATAACACTATCAAATCAATTGCCTTTTGAGAAATCTATCATTTACCAAGATATATTGATGATAATTGAATGAATAATTTAAGGACTCAATTAAAAATAGATTAGTTTTAACATAAAATGAATTCTTATACTTAGCAAAAGAAAACTACCAATCAAACTACAATATAAAGGCAATTAAAGGTGCAAATGATTAACATATACAATAATATATAATAATAATAATAATAATAATAATAATAATAATAATAATAAATTTGAAATAGCTACTTTTATAGTCGATTTGGTTCGGATTTTTTCCGATTATTTTTTGATTAAAACCAAAACCAAACCAAATTTGATCGGTTTTTAAAATTCAAAATAAAAAATAAATCAAACCAAAAAGTATCGATTTTTTGATCGATATAGTTTGATTTTCGGTTTGGTTCGATTTTTCGGGTTGGTATGAACGCCCCTAAGACTTTTACTTCATTCAATTTTTTCCCCATAAAGAAGTGTAGTGTCATGAACATTGAGATTCTTTTGGTACTATTTCATTTTAGAAAAGAAAAAGAAAAAAAAACTAAGGTGGTTGGAAGTTTGAATATATTGTATTTTGTACATATTGGCCCGACAAAAACCGATCACTTCTGTTATCTCTTTGCTTTGTCCCTCCCCATTGTCTATTTTTTCTGTACATTGTTCTTTCCTATGGGTCTCTCTTTGTTTTTACTTTTACTTTTTCTCAAGTTTAGCACATTCTTTCTTGTAACTGTTACCATTCGAGCCAACTCTCTGTCTCTGTTGGTTACTGAATCACTGGTCCATTTATCAAATGTTTTTTTTTTCATGCATCCTTGATTCAAAATTACTAACTGCACTAATTAAATTCGTACATTGTATGCCCACTAAAAACTCTCTATATTATTACAAATATAGTCGGCCAGATTTATTGTTTACTTTTTCTAGTTAGTGTTCATAAATTATATATAGTCATACACATATTATATATCTATCGACTATTTTTAGTTTAAAAAATTAAATTGACCGTCATTTCGATTAATTTTTTTAATTACTACAGTTTGAATTTGAAATTTAAGTAAAAAGATTCTCATTTGCTAATTTTAGTATGAGGACTGGAACTCGAAATATTTAATTAAAACAGAGAGAGTTAGATTTTACTACTTCCTCTGGTTCATAATAAGTGACCAATTTACTTTGGGCACACTCATTAAGGAAATTTTAAATTCTAGACGAAAATAGTTAGTGCGATTAAACTACCTTTCATTAAATGTTGCATCATGTTATAATAACACTCATCTTCTCAAATATGAGGAGTAAATGATTTTTAGGATATATACATACAGGTAATTTTAGAAAAATAAATTAAATTTTTTCTTGATTATATAAATAAATACTTATTTTGGACCAAAATAAAAAAATAAATTGATAAGTTATTATGGACCGAAACGAGTATTTCATTAACCGAAATCTTTAATTAAGAGGACTTAACATTTACTATTCCATTAAAACGCTTGTGGTGCAAATAAACCGTTGCTTTCAATGGGGAGTGCTATATGTCAGAATATCAGCTAAGTTGGTGGCCTGCAGTCAATANCACCTTCCCCCACCCCCCAAAACTCAGTTGCCTCTGTAGCTTACGTGTTACTGGTGAATTTCATACCCACCCCACCCACTCAAAATATTCCACTACTCCATTACCAGAACCTCCAGCCAAGAAACAAAACCTCACACATTTCTTGTTTTAGTGCATCTGCACGTATATATTTGGGTTCTTGTCATATAAAGTTGAAAATTTTCTATTCCATAATTTTGTTTTAGGTATGTGATAATGCCCTTTCTTACAGGGATTAGTGTCATTATTTAAGGTGAACCAAAAGGTGTGCTCCTATATTTTTGTCATCATTTTTCTATTTAACAAAAAACAGCTTAGCTCCAATTTCCACCAACCTTTTTTTTTCATCTTTGTTTTTTCCTCATGGTGTTTTGTGTCTGTCCCTTAAATGTTCTTTCCTGTGGGTCGCTCAATTTCTCAGTCCACTCATAAGGCCAAAGCTTTATAATTCTTGGATTTTTGTTGCAATATCTTCAACTAAAGGCAGTGCTGCTCAACCACTAGCCATTTCAAGATTTTGCCAAGTATGAGCTTTTTTTCAAGTTCTTGATTAGTCTAGTAATGGATATTGAAAGTTGGGGTCGTGAAAATCCAATAAAGGTTAGATTTTTGGCAATATTATGTTACCCATGTTTGAAAAAATTGAGCTTTTGAGTCATTTTTGATATTCCAATTTTGTTGCAGAAAGAATCTTGGAGGACAGTTTTAGCCTTAGCTTATCAGAGTTTAGGTGTGGTGTATGGAGATTTGAGTACTTCACCTTTATATGTATACAAGAGCACATTTGCAGAGGATATTCATCATTCAGAGTCTAATGAGGAGATATTTGGAGTTTTATCATTTGTGTTTTGGACATTAACTCTTATTCCATTGCTTAAATATGTGTTCATAGTATTACGAGCTGATGATAATGGTGAAGGTGGGACTTTTGCTTTGTATTCCTTATTGTGCCGTCATGCCCGTGTTAGTACTTTGCCTAATGGTCAATTGGCTGATGAGGATTTATATGAGTACAAGAATGATAGAAAATTGTCAGCTGATAGGATTGGAATGAGCTTGAAATCAACTCTTGAGAAACACAGATTTTTGAAGAAAATTTTGCTCATTTTAGCTTTGATTGGGACTTGTATGGTTATTGGTGATGGAGTCCTTACCCCTGCAATCTCAGGTATTTTCTACGCGGAGCATATATGTAAAAATTACTGAAGTTTCAATATATATCAAGTTCTGAATCCGTGTTATAAAGGTTGAACTCATTGAATTTAGTTTCTGAATCCGCCTTTGTGTATGATCCGTGTTGGACTTGGTTTATCTGCCAGATTGGAGATGTTGTGATGCTGATAAATTAATCCTTTCCTATTTTATTTAATTTATGGTGCATTGAATCTGCAGTATTCTCTGCTGTCTCTGGACTTGAACTTTCAATGGCAAAGCATCATCACCAATGTGAGTCCAAATTTTTTTGGCAGATTTATTGTTCCCTTATGGCCCCTTGCCCGTACCCCTTTGTTGAATAAGATGAGGAATCAAAAGTTATATCTATTTTATTTTACAGCTTTATTCCATTATGTTAATAGATTTTCATCCTTGTTATGCCAAAGAATAATAATAGATGATATTCTGATACCCTAGCCGGCTGATCAATGAAAAGAACCAGTGAGTGTTTATGGCCGAGGCGAGAAGATACAACAACAACATACCGTATAATCCTACGGGTGGGAAATGGGGAAGATAATAATTTGAAATAGTTTCATAATGAACTGTTGGGGTAGATAGAGATCAGTTCCTTATGGCTGATCTCAAGTGATTATCTTTAGTTTTTCTTGATTTCTCTAACTTATTATATTTTGATTTATGCCTACTTTATTCAGATGTGTTTGGGCTAGATGTAACAAGACTTGAGTATTTAATATAATAAGTTGGTTCACTTTTCTGGAAACTTTTTCTAATGGTCGTGCAATTTGTGACATGGAGAGGTTACCAATATTTAATGAAGATGCATTATTGTGGGTCCCTTAATACTAAATTAAGACAAAATGTATATGGTAATCAAAGTCATATCAACATCAATAAAGAAATAAAGTTAGGTGCTTTCTCCATAGACCACATTGATGTTATCCTAATTTTTAAAGTGAGGTTTCAACTTTAGAAACATAGTTTTTTTATTTCGTAAAGCAGAGGTGGTGGATAATGTTTTAACTTACTGGAAATTATGAATAAAATGGTTATTCTGTTGAAATAGAAAGGAAGAAAATATGGCACTAGTATGAATGTCTCTTGGAGCTCCTTAAAGACAAGTGCCCTCTCTGTTTGTTCTTGTATCACGAAGCATATCTGAGATATAATATATAATGTGAGAAAATAAGAAAATATATTGGGAGAATGCATTAGACAAGTTTTCTTACACCTGTGAGCTTTTAGAGATAGTTTATCCAATATATACATTATACTTTCGTCTGACTTCTGGTTTGGATAATTTATCCAATCTACCATTCTGACATTCTAACACAGGAAAAGATTTTTTTTGATGACCGAGAAAATTCTCTCTGGTCCAACCTATAGGACCAACCATAGCCTTCGAAACTCGGGGATAATGTGCCCGCCCCTATACCTTTCTCCATTTAAATACCAGGCTAAGTTCACATGCACAAGGCTTGAATCAAGTCCATCAACCTTTATTGATACAATTAACCATTGTGGATTATGATAATGAATGTCCTCTAGAAAATATTTACCTAAATGATTGAGTATATCCCTTTGACAGCATAATGTTAACCAATCTATGGAATTGTTTGGAAAATAAGCTAAGAAATCTTAATATTCATATAAATATTGCCTATGGCTCGTAAGTTGAAAAGTTTACTCGAAGATGGACTCATACCCATAACTTATGGATTTCTGTATTGGAAGTAGTCTGAGAATGTGGTTCAAACCAGACATATAATTTCCAGAATAGTTCCATTCAATTGTATGGATGAAATTCCAACTTTCTGTCATACTACATCCTTCTGAGGTTACTTATATTCCTCTATGATAGTTAAATGATTTACAGAAAATCAATAGTCCATGAGCGAACCAAAGGTGAAAAGTCTGCCTGTTTCCTTGCCTTTAATAATTTACTTGCGAAGTGAAACAGCAGGTAGTTCTCTGTAATATCTGATACAATTGTGATGTTTTCTTAACTTGTTCGGAGTTTACATGATTTTTCTGGTTAACTTTTGAAATTATGCAAGTCAGAAGCTAACTTATTTTGTTTCTATAATTGCTGAATTCTAGTTTTGCCTGTTAAGATGATGTCATTAGTTAGTATTGTCCTCATATCATATTAACACGAGATCCTTATTTTTTTGTTGAAACAAGAAACAACAACTGTGGAACTAATGAATAATGTGCTGAATTATTTCTTTACCCTGCAGATGTAGAAGTTCCAGTTGCTTGTGTGATACTTGTGTTCTTATTTTTTCTCCAGCACTATGGGACACATCGAATAGGATTTCTATTTGCACCTATTGTGATTACATGGCTTTTTTGCATTAGTGCAATTGGGCTGTACAACATCTTCCACTGGAACCCTCATGTTTATCAAGCATTATCTCCATACTACATGTACAAATTCTTAAAGAAGACCCAAAGAGGAGGATGGATGTCCCTGGGTGGGATTTTATTATGTATAACAGGTACGGCATTCCTTTATGTGAAATTTGTTCTCTTGATATTTTTGGTGGGAATTTGACATTTCTTGGCATATGACCTATTCTTTTAACAGTGGATGGGCCTTCTTTCTTCCTAGTTAATTTTATACTCTCTTTGCTTGTCCAACTTTCAGGTTCAGAAGCTATGTTTGCTGATCTTGGACACTTTTCCCAGCTGTCTATTCAGGTAAATAACTCAAGTAATTTTGTTATGCAACTCTTGAAGCTTATTATTGTAAGACTAACTTTTCAGATAGAGACTGTTCAATCAAGCATGTAACTGGTATTTACTAGGTTAAATGAACACAATGAATTAGCATTCAGCTGTGACTTAAAGTTACTACTCTTAATTATTTGACCCATCTTTCATATTACTCCTTCTGTCCTCGTATGTTTGGCACTCTTTCCCTTTTGCCCATTCCAGAAATATTGGCACTGAATGGTTTTGTATCAGTTTCTTGAACTTGTGTTAAATACTGCAATGAGGAGCATTGATAGACAAACTGGTGCACAACATTTAATTTATTGCAAGGTGACTGAGGAATTAGCAAAACTTGAATAGATGTATGCTAGGTAGTCATACCTGCAAATCTCTGCTCTCCTAATCTAAGTCGGATAACATCTAGATGCTTTTGATCACTTCAAATTTTCCAAAATTTCCTTGGACTGACTCACTCATGTTCTCAAGTCTTTCCAGCTTTACTTTCTCGAAAAAGATTGGTCAAATCTAGTCATCTTAGCTTAGTAAGCTGCCTCGGCATGCTTGAGAGCAGTATCCTGAGATGAACTATGCTTCATATGAGAGCTGTCAAATGTGTACCACACATTTTGTAAGATACTGAGCTAATGTGTGTTGGAGTGTTTATTGTCAAACTGAGATTATCTGCAGATGTTTTGTTCAATGTGAATAAAGTTCCTTGTAGAGGTACGGAGTTAAAATGCTTTACGTTGGCAACTGCAAATTCAACCAAGTCCCAATAAGAGCTGCTTCTCTGCAGATAGCTTTTACGTTTGTTGTTTACCCATCATTAATTCTTGCTTATATGGGACAAGCTGCGTATCTTTCCAAGCATCATGTTATCCAAGGTGATTACCACATCGGGTTCTATGTATCAGTACCTGGTAAGTACTTTGCTCCTCTCTTCGATTCTCTCTTTTTTTCTTTCCTTTTTCTCTTCGTGCATTTGAATGCAGCATGTATATCTAGTTTAAACATTTCAACTAATTTATATGTTCATCATTGTCCCAGAAAAACTGCGGTATCCTGTTCTGGCTATTGCTATACTTGCTGCAGTGGTTGGAAGCCAGGCCATCATCACTGGGACGTTTTCTATAATCAAGCAATGTTCTGCTTTGGGTTGCTTCCCAAGGGTCAAAATAGTACATACATCGTCCAAAATCCATGGCCAGATTTACATTCCAGAGATAAACTGGACGTTGATGTTGCTATGCTTGGCAGTTACTATTGGCTTCCGTGACACGAAACACATAAGCAACGCATCAGGTATCATTAACAGCCAAATAATATGCATTGTCCATGAAGTCACTAAAGGATTCTGAGTCTGTTATATAAAAGCCTGATTAAGTTTCACGTTTTATTACATATTCCTCCTTTTCTTTTCTGATTGGAACATAACTCTCTTTTAACACATCAGTGGGTAGAATAGAAAATTCATTTTTCCTGATATTTTCTGATCTCAAATTGATCTTGGTAGTTTATTATAATAATATAACCTCTTGATTAGTTATACTTTACTATTAATAGGGAAAAATGCAAGGATAAGTTGCAAGCCACATAATGTAAAAAGACGATCTTCCAAATGTGCACGTGTTATTTCTGATACTGAGAGGAAGTTAATTAACTCTCAACCTCATAGAAAATGTTATAGACAGACTACAATTGAACTTTAGGTGTACCAAAATAAATATTCACCAGATAATCGCAACTTGCAGTTATCATTTTGTGCATCAGGCAATTGAACAGTTTTAAATGTAAACTGAATTTATTGAAATTCCCTCGATCTTAGCCAAAAGGCTGAGAAAGTGTAGGACTAAATTTTGTTTGAAATCACTACGCGTATTTGTTACAGTGCAACCTTTTTCTCTTGCAGGTCTGGCAGTTATAACTGTTATGCTGGTCACTACGTGCTTTATGTCTCTAGTCATTGTCCTCTGCTGGCACAAAAACGTGTTACTTGCCATTTGCTTTATATTCTTCTTTGGTTCCATTGAAGCCCTCTACTTTTCAGCTTCCCTAATCAAGTTCCTCGAAGGGGCCTGGGTACCGATTGTTCTCTCTTTGATATTTCTAGTCGTCATGTACAGTTGGCATTATGGCACCCTGNAGTTGGCATTACGGCACCCTGAAAAAGTACGAGTTTGATGTTGAAAACAAAATTCCCATCAACTGGCTGCTCACCTTGAGTCCCAACCTGGGTATTACACGGGTCCGTGGCATTGGCCTCATCCACACCGAGCTTGTTTCAGGAATTCCAGCAATTTTCTCACATTTCGTCACCAACCTACCTGCTTTCCACCAGGTTCTTGTTTTCCTTTGTGTCAAGTCCGTACCAGTACCTCACGTGAGACCTGAAGAAAGGTTCTTGGTGGGAAGAATTGGACCAAAAGAGTACCGCGTCTACAGATGTATAGCACGATATGGTTATCGAGATATTCACATGGACGACGTAGAGTTTGAAAAAGATCTAGTTTGTAGCATAGCTGAATTCATCCGCTCAGAGGGACCAGCACAGAGTTTTGAAGCTGCTGAAGGTATAGACGACAACGAGAAACTGACAGTTATTGGAACAACTTCAACACATGTTGATGGAGTAACAATGTGCGAGGACATAGACACTAAAGATACAGAAATGATTGAGATCAGTTCCCCAGAAGTACCAAGAAAGAGAGTGAGATTTCTGGTGCCAGAGAGTCCACAAATGGATTTAAGCGTTCGTGCAGAGTTGCAAGAACTGATGGAAGCGCGGGAAGCAGGCATGGCGTTTATCCTTGGACATTGTTATGTAAGAGCAAAGAGAGGTTCAAGTTTGATAAAAAAACTGGTGGTTGACATAGGATATGACTTTTTGAGAAGGAATTGTCGCGGGCCAACATATGCATTGAGCTTCCCTCGTGCTTCAACTTTGGAGGTTGGAATGATTTACCATGTATAATTTGTTCTTTCCTTTTCTATTTAAAGGATAGAACTGTAGCATATGCTTTTTTTTCTTCATTCTTACTTTTGTATTTCAAATGTGAAAACTGTAAATGTTGTGCTGGTACATGAATTTTGCTTTGTACAATGCAATACCACGAAAAAGTATACTGAATACTGAGCTTAGAGCTGCATGTATTGAATAAAGAGCTGAAAATATGAGGTTAACAATTTGTCTACTGTCTTGCTTATACAACTACATTTATCAGGTACACATATACTCTGTGAAAGATGATTACTTTTCGCGTTGTGTATTAAAACATGTATACGCTAGTTTAGGAGACTTACGGATGTAGTAAAACATGTATACGCTAGTTTCAGCTTGTTTGGATAGTTGTTATGTATCGTTTTATAATGTATCGTCGTATAGTACAACTTGTTTGGATGGTTGTATTGTTATTTTAAATACAATGCTTGTTTGATTTGTTACTTAAATTTTGTTGTATCATATTGTTAAATCCGTCGCTACGTAACGATAAAAAGTACCACTTTATGGAATGAGATTTGGTGTGATCGCGTCGTTATCTAATTTTTTTCTCTCATCTTGCCCTTACTTATTATTAAATAAATCTATTTTATCACCTTACTTTTTATTTTATTTTATAATATTACAAGTTTATTTTTCATATATTATTGGTGCATGACATCATGGAACAACAACAAACAAGACAATCTATCCAAACATTGTATACATCAAAACGATACAGTATAAATAGTACAAGACTTACAGGTTTTTTCTTTACACAAGCGTATTTACAACAACAACAACTTGTATCCAGGGGTGGCCCGACGAATTTTGTGGCCTAAAGCCAAAATTTATGAGGGACCTTAACTTTTTAATTTTTTTTAAATTGATTTGAAGTCTATTTTTTTTTTAGTATTTTTTAGATACATAGTTATTTAATTTTCTTAGTATTTCTCAATTGACAATATAAGGAATCCACTTAACCTTTCTTGTGATATTGTTGTTCTTATATAAGATTTTATCAATTTTAAGTTTGAAAACTTTTTCCCGCTGAAGCAACGGTAACTTGAGTTATGAGCATTATTCCATAAGCAATTTAGGCATTTGGAAAAGAATTAAATCTTTTTATTTGATTAAGTGTATCAATTAAACTGTTATCTTCTAATTGTACTATTTTTCTTAATATTTTTAATTCAGAAAATAAATCTAAACCATCAATATCGAATTGACTATTATGCTTTAAGGAACATTCAAGATTAAGGCAATAGTTTTTCAAATTTCCAACATCTAGTGATCTTAATTTTTATTGTCAAATAGAAAACTAAAAATATTTTCATATGCTTCGAATTGTTCAAATCTATTGTGACGTGAAAAAATAACCTTGTCTATTATGTATAAAAGTAATTAACTCTAAAGGACTCTTCGAAAGATTTTGGGATTTCATTATTAATATTTGCATCAAATTGTTACTTCCTATATAGCACACGTTTCTTACAAAATTCAGGTTCGATATCCATTTTAAGTGCAATTTCCTTAGTAGAAATTATAGCAGTTGCAAATCCTTCTTCTCTATATTTGTTAGAAAGAAATAAATTTTTTTTACTTTACAGAACTCTTTTTTAAACTTATACATAGTCTATTCAGGGGCGGATCCAGAGAAAAGGATACGGGTTCCCGTGAACCCAGTAACTTTTGCATAAACTCTGTATTTGTATTAAAAAATTTATTAAAAATATAAGAATATTTAACTTGGAACCCAGTTCGTTGATCCAATTATCATTTAGATTAACTTGAGATTGTTGTAGGAACCCATAAGCTTAAAATCCGCTACTGACACTTGAAAAAGCAGCTTTCAAGGTCTCGTCGCTTCGGTGAATCACTGTTCTGAATCCGTCTCTGAGTCTATTAGGTGCGATAAAAAATGGGGCCCCACAAATATGGGGCCTAAACCGGTTGCTTTACTTGCTTTATGGAGGCGCTGCGCGGATGAACTTCTTTGTTTCCATAACCTAATTATTCCTCTTGGATACAGATAACTACGTACCAACCCTAGCAACCCTCCCTTATGAACAAGTCAGTCTCCCAACATTTATAGTGGTGTTTATGTAGACTGCATTAAAACTTAGGGTTAGACCGTCTAATGAGCCAACTTATTAGCTAACACTCTTTCTTAGTGTACTAAGCCCAAAAGACTATTTTTTCCATCACGTTGATTATAAATTATATACACCACTTTAATCTATGATAGCATGTTAGTTATTATTTTTACCATGTTACTATTAATGTTAAGGATTTATATGTTACCATTTTTACCTTATGATTGTGTTGATATTTTTCCTATTGTTAGTTCATCAAACTTAAAGTCTTATGTAATTATGCTGTAACATGTAGAATTTTTGGATAAATGTGAATTTTTTAGTTGAGTAGAGAGGACGCATTGCATCTTGGAACATCAAACTCAACATTAAGAAATGACTAAAAGTTGAGTCGACATGCCAAGCTTGCTTATTCTTTCTTGACAAAACGTGATGATTAGGAAAAAGGACAAGTATACCATATTTTTTTAGTCTCAAATTACCTAACCCCAATGGGATTACAACTTTTATACAATCTTCTCAAAGACAATTAGAGAAACAAACAAAAAGAGAAAAAGAAAAAGGAAGAAAAACGCGAGAAACGAAAAGAGAAGAAAACAAACATTATTCTTGAGATTGATTTTGCAGTTTGGTTGTTACAATAAGATTAGTATAGTTAGTTAAAAATTGCACGTGCATAATTGCACCTTCTTATTAATCTTTCCCCGCTACTATTTACCAATTGAATTCTAACTTTTATACACAAAAGTTCTTAAAATCTACTCTTGAAAGATAATTATAAGTAATTATTTATATTAGGTAAAGTACTAATTTGAAAAATAAGATATATAATTAAAACGCTCTTAGGATTAGCCTAATAATCAAAGAAGTGAGTGGAGAATCATTAGATCTCTGATTCAATTTTCCGTGGAGATAAAAGCGCTATGTTATATTTTCTTATTTGTCTAAGTCATGATAGACAAAGTTATTCGCTACAATTTTTTTAGCAATACACATGTAGAATTAAAAAAATACCTTAGACAAGGTATTCACATAGACAAGTTAGTCAAGTGCGCAAGCCGTCCGAACACCAACTTCATTAAAAAAAAAAAACTTGTTAACATAATAATTCTTACACTTGTGTATATATATAACTAACTTGTTTGAGTAACAATTAAAATAAATATTATATTTAAAGTAATAATATAATACATAAACAACCATCCAAAAAGCGGTAAGTGAAATCTGAAAAATAAAATAAAAAACAAGTTAAAGAAACAGAACAACCGGCTTAGCAGACGCACGCATGAGTTGTGATTCATCGGTTCTCTGACATATGTTGCTGTTGTTTGTCTAGGGAAGATAACTTTCTAGACGAAAATGTCAGCATTAACCTTATCAATCTCGATTACAGTACCTGACTGCCCAAGGGTATTTCAGAGAATTCATCTCTTTGTCAGTCATGCGCCCACCTGCCACCCCATCTTAAATCTCAACTCAAAAATCTCACTCTGGTCCTGAAATCCACTCTATTTACTGTTTATTAAAGAAAAATTAACAAGGAAAAGTAGAAGCATTTGATTCCTATCTTTCTTTTAACCCAATTTTTGAATAGAGTTAACTTCAAGTTTTTAGCTTCCTTAATATAATACTCTCTGTTTCACTGTATATATGTCTGCTCTGTCCTTTCACTAAAGTAATAAGTTTTATATATTCTGATTACCATGTATAAAGTCTAAGGAGACATTGTTTGTGAGCTTTTTGTCTACCAGTATTTTTGCCTATAATTAAAATGTTCGTGTTATTTCAACTTAACTGACCATTTCAAGAACCATGAGAAGGAATTTTATCATCTTATCTCTCATAATCTTTCTTCTACTTCTTGAATTTTCATCTGCCTCAGCCTCAACCTCAGCCACTCCTGCTGCAAGTTAGTGCATGTTTCATTTGCTTAACTCAATGACCCCTTAATCTCAAATCTTTGTTTTGTTTAATAAAGTCTGAGTCTTTTTCATGTATATGCAGAGATTGTTGGTGGGGTTGTCACAAATGTTGCTTCTGTGCTATTTAAGTGGTTGTGGTCACTAAAATCGCCTGCAAAAACAGGTACATTCTTGGTATATTTCCCATGTTTTTTTTCCTTTCAATTGTTAGTGAATTGTGGAAGGGGATCCTTGGCGTAACGGGTAAAGTTGCTGCCATGTGACCAAAAGCCACAGATTCAAGCCTTGGAAACAGGCTCTTTGCAGGAATGTAAGGTAAGACTGCTGCGATAGACCGTTGTGGTCCGGCCTTCCACGGACTCCGCACATAGCGAGAGCTTAATGCACCGGGCTGCCCTGTTAGTTGTGCTTTTTGATTGTTGGTGGAAATGATGGGGTTTGTTTGATTAATCAGCTGTTTCCAGCCGTTCGATGGTCAAGTTTGAGAGTGGATATATTGTTGAAACTGTGTTTGATGGAAGCAAGCTTGGAATTGAACCTTACTCAGTAGAAGTTTCTTCAACTGGAGAGGTTCTCATTTTGGACTCTGAGAATAGTAATATTTACAGGGTTTCAACACCATTGTCTCGATGTAAGTTGCTATTTAGAGCGTTTCATTTGGTTCTGCACTTCTATAATTCTTCATTAAAGACCCCTTCTACTAGTTAGTCTAGTGAGTGTAACTCAAACAATAAAGGAACTTGTTTAACAAATGACACTTGTTCTACTTCCCTGTAAGGTTAAGTTGTTACAGAGAACATACTTTTCTATATATAATTATTTTTTCAAGTTCCAAGATGGAGCTAGGATTTAAAGTTATTGGGTTCGGTATTCTAGTTCTTTTAAGATACTGGGTTCTAAATTAAGAATTTGTATATATTCAATGGATTTCTTAAGACAAATAGAAGGTTTGGACCTAAATTACTAGGTTCGGCTGAACCCGTAACATATATGTTGGCTCCGCCCCTGTTTTTAACACACGCCGTTTAATTCTTTTTCATGGCCAAGCACGTGGATGACACTTGAACAAGACTTCTGCCTGCTCTGATATCATGTTGAAGTGTGTCACTATCTCATTTAAATGCTTAAGCTGTTAAAAATCACATACTTTTATTTGGTTAATTATGTTATCACTACTGATATATACAATACTATCA